GACTGTATCCAGCATAGTGCGGTATCAGTCACTCCGTAAGAGTATTCCAGACGTTTATAAAGTATGCCATGGTCGATGACGTCAAATGCAGCTGACAAGTCCAGCATGACAAGCACCGCTCTGCACTTGTTATCCAATGCAGAAGCTATATCACTATGTACACGTAGGAGGGCCGTCTCAGTAGAGTGTCCCATGCGGTAGGCCGATTGTATGTTGTCATGGAGACTGTTTGCATGGAGATGAACCTCTAAACGCCGGGACACAACCTTCTCCAAGATCTTAGACTGAAAAGGCAGATTTGAAACTGGGCGGTAGTTTTTCAACTCCTCCTTGTCCATTCCAGACTTTTTTAACAATGGTCTGACATGTGCCTTCTTGAAACATAATGGAACCTTTGACTCAACCAATGATTTATTCATGATTGCGGTAATCAAAGGAAGCAGTGCTTAAAGACATTGCTTTAATTGCTTTGAAATGTGTGTGTAGACTTTGAGAAAGATCTTTCCGTTAAATTCTTGAGAATTAGCTGTATCCCTGAAATCCAAGATGGCCATATGATGGCCATATTGCGGTTACTATCACAAACAAAAGAGGTGTTGCACATTAGGAAACCCAGTGTGGAACTCTGTACAATACTTATAACGTAGATGAGATTTTTATTCGTACCACTGATAAGTCACAAATGGTTGACATGGTCATACGGTGCAGTAAATAATGGTTATTTCGTTTGGCTTTCTGCGTCGACAATCTGATTTACAAAAAAACCTCACCAAGTGATCCCTTCCTCGTTAAAAAAAATCTGTCTGGTACTCTCTCAGAAACAGTTATATCAAAATTCGCCCTAAATTCCAAGATAAACCGCATAGTGACCATATTGCTATTTTATCCAAAAATAAGTGAAACGTGAAAACACTTTGACCTTAGAGGAACAGCCACATTTTGAGAAAAATCTGTCTATAAGTTTATGACAATTTGCGATATCAATATCACGATTTAGATAATCCCCATGAAGAATATCTTGATTAAAGAGTATTGTAATGTGCATTAACCAAATTTAAAACAGTAATATTCAGAAAATCTTGTAAAATATCCTAGTGTGTGCCTTATCAACAATCATTATTAGTAGTACAACATAGTATATACAATGTTGGTCCTTACACACCCATACAGATATGAATGTTGGGGAAAAAATACTTATATCTCAATCTTGACTTTGACTGTTTGTTTTTAAATTATTCAACATGAAATGTCACGATATTCTTCGTAACCCTACAAGCTTAGATTGTTACATATTATGCTCTACCTGCTCGAACGATGTGACGGATAATTCTTAGATTGCCCTATATGGGTGAAGTTTGAGCCCTTTGGTTCTAACATTTCCCTACATCCTTGTATAGTGATGGTATGTTTGTGAGCAAAACATTATTTTGATGGTCGATGCTTACTCCGCCATATATTTAACCCTTTCACCACTGTAGACCATAATGGACTCATCCAGATCAAAGCATGGTAGAGTTTACTAAAGTTGCATAGTGGAAAGGGTTAAGATATGATATAAGTAGACAACTACTTCGCTTAGAGAACTGGTTTGTGCGGCGGTCGACACTTACTTCGATGTTCTACGGGTTTGGTTTGGTTGACGGTCAGCGCTACCTTTGAGGAGGTCGGACTGATAGCGAAGAACTCCACATTGATGCTCCTGCCTTTCTTGGAACAAAATTGAACCTGACTGATGTTGTAAAAACAAGTAAATGTCTGAAAAGAGGGAGAGAGAGAGAGAGAGAGATAACCAGTAATTGCAATATACATGTATTTGATATTTATTTGCTACGCATAACATTTTTTTTAAATAAGCTATGACGAGTGTTTTTAATTTCCCGATAGCAATATTTAGTGCAACGTAACACAAGTTACAGCTGTACACGATTAATACGAACTGAATATCATATTGTATCATAGAATACACGGGAGATGACTTATATAAGCTGTAAGTTTGCTGTCAAATCCCCATTTCACTATGTATTATTGTATTATTATTGCTGTTATTAATGAATAAAACATTGTTTAAACTTAAACGAAATACCTCAGTAATTAACAGATTGGTATATTCCGTCTTTGCGTATTGCAGAATTATCTTCTCTTGGGAGCAGGTATTGATTGTTATGTCATTGGTTTGTGCGAGAAAATTACGTCGTTTTCTCAAAAACTGATGACGTTACTCTCACAAACAAGTGACGTAAAATCAATCCCTACTCCCAAGAGAAGATAACTCTGCAATACGCAAAGACGGAATACCACAGCATTGATAAGATGGACCATTACACTACCTTCACTGGTATAAAGCCGAGACCTTCGGTAAATCTCAGCTCAAAGCCACACTCAACGGAGAACTGGTGTGCTTTTGCACAAATACTATTGTCCTCTCGATCGTTAGCGAATCTCACTTCGCACGTGCCACTTTCACCGTTCCAACTGACGTCATATGGAATATCATCTTTGAAATGCACGTATTGTCCACACCTGTCTAGTGCAGAAATATGTGTCACCTTACCTTAAATAAAAATAAAAAATGAAAAATATTTAGTAGTGCATGTTTCATTTAAAATGTACGAAGAAATAGTTTATCGTAAGCCTTACGAAAAGAACATTAAAAGATACTGGAAATGTCTCAGTTAAAATGTTACAGATGCATTATATAACAGCTATGTCAAACACATGTATATGACATGGATCTAACCTACTAACTATTATGTGAGATTCACAATGTTAAAGCCGTATTGGATATTGGTGAATATGTTCTTAGTAATAAAACAGTTATACAAATATCTATACAACGAATTTACATTTTTATTTTGTTTAGTTTCATTTCTACGTAGTTCACAACGCACTTTTAAATTCGAATTTCGCTGTGTTTGTTCAAGAGGTAGAACAGCCCGTGGAATCGCTCACGGAATGTTGTCTCGTGAATTTTTCGTGGAAACAAACAGAAAAAATATCGATACTATTTCCATAATTTAATCAATCAATATATTCAATTCACATTTTATAATAGTCTTACATAAAATGGTGAATATTATTGAATCATACTGGATTTTGTTGCTTATCTGCTTGCTAGTGCAGAGCGGAATAGCGATCCGGTAGTTATTCAGACCCGTGGAGATATCACTACGCCTGTAAAGCATATCCATGTGTACGGGGATGCAGTCGAGGCTATCTCCCTTACACCACTGCATTGCATGTGTAAACTTGGTATTTTTCAACTTTCATTTAACTAATTATTACAAATATATGGATTATAGCATGTTTACTAAGAGAGAACTAATATAGACCTAGCCTGTTTACTAGAGGAGGACTAATGTAGACCTAGTCTGTTTACTAGAAAACTTATATTTTCCCCAATTCACTATACTAATTCACCGTACATGTATATCTAACCTGACATAGTTTCTAAATTTAGCCTTGCTATATTATGTACAGTGTATACGTTCAAAATAGGTAGAGTTGTAAGGAAGGCTTGCTCAGTGGAGGGGTCTAGGTAGGTGGCTTTTCGAGCTAAACGTTGACAGTTCGACTCTCGGGCTTGGTAGAATTGAAAAAGTTTCTACTTGATAATTGTGAGTTTTTCAGTGTAAGACAGATTCGGGAGGTAAGAATAACGCGTCTGATTATTTCAAAATAAAAATAAAATACGAATTGAAGGAAAATTGTAAAATAAACTTATCCAATCAAATTACGCGATTTCCATTAATGGTTTTTGGAAGGTATAAATAGAGCACCAAATCAAGCTATTATAGGAGGGCAGTGAGGCTACTTAAAGGACCTGTTTACCGTGTTCTAGGATAAGTCAAATAGACTTAGTCTGTTTACTAGAGGAGGACTAAAGTTTATTATAGACATAGTCTGTTTAGAGAGGACTAATTAATATACACCTAGTATGTTAACGAGTAAATAAATAATATAGACTCTTCTGTTTACAAGGAGATGACTAAATATGCCTAGTCTGTTTACAGTTTTTTTTCTGTAAGTGTAATTTAGGATATATCCATAAACAGCATACTGTAGTGATCACTTCAGGTTTTAGTATTATTTGTGTATTATCATAGACAGATTTACATGAAGTCCTGTAAACTGATAATTGATCATTAATGGGGTTTATTTGTGTATTGTCATAGGCAGACTTACCTGAAGTCCTATAAACTGACCAGTAATCATAGACAGACTTACCTGAAGTCCTATAAACTGACCAGTAATCATAGGCAGACTTACCTGAAGTCCTATAAACTAACCAGTAATCATAGGCAGACTTACCTGAAGTCCTATAAACAGACCAGTAATCATAGGCAGACTTACCTGAAGTCCAGTCAACCAATAGATAAACAATGATGGCTATTCTGGAGTGGAGCTCTCGCATGATACTGTGAAACGCTGACACTTGCACATAGGTTGTTCTGATTGAAAGATACATATTACAATATATATATTTTTTAAATTCGATTTCATCATAAATATGAAGTGCTAAGATACAACATGCGGTTGTATTGGCGGATCCAGAGGGGGTATTTGGGCTTCAAAAAAAAAACACTGAAATTTTTCTTTAAAAATCATGTATTTTCACCATTTTCCTTAATTTTTCCCCGCATGTGATTCAGACACATTTATAGTGATAAGTTTTATAAAATATGAGTCAGAAAACACAAATCTGTATAATGTTCCTAAAAAATACTAGAAAACGGAGCCCATACACGGATGTTTTATCAAAGTCGGTCAATCATGGTCTAATTGAGCTAGGCTAACTTAATTACTACATTATACAAACACATCATGCTAGTAAACTGAACTCCACTGTGTCATTATATATATATATATCGATACAGGATAATGATTGATGATCGTGACTTATAGTACGTAAATTATGACAAATCTCAATTATCAATATATTATGTTTATGAATATTAAATAAATCATGTACACCATTGATCCACAGGGGTTTGTTACAAATGTCTAATATACACACACATATATATATATATATATATATATATATATATATGCCCTACTGATATATGGGTTATACACATAAACATACACACGTACTGTATCAGCATATGTGTATTAGACATTTGGTAATGAACCCCTGTGATCAATCAAAGAAATAGTGTTATACGCGTTCGATCGTTACATTAATTGAATATACGTCTTACAAACACTATTATACAGTATTTCTTACTTCCCAGTCAACCTTTAAGTATAACATATACGTACCTATAAACTGAGCTTCAATGCTGCAATAATTGACTGCTTAACAATGTTTCATTATACTAAACGTCAAAGATTCCCCACTCGCTAAAATTAGAATACTATGTCATGGTTTTCCAAACGGACAATATCATGTTATAATGAATACGATATAGCTAGGTGCACTTAAGCACAGAGATCAGTTCACAAGTGAGTACAGTTGATGAGAGATATAGATAGTGTTGTGATTATGGTAATATGAGACAACACTTGCTTAATTCAGGAATTCCGGAGAGTGTCCGGATCAAGATATCATAATTTCTACTTTCTGTTTGTTTTATCGGTTATATACATTCAGAATACCCTTTCGTCATTTTCTACCAATCTGCTAGGTAGCAAAGCACTCGGAACTTCTCGGTGGTCATCTAAACATTTCGTTAGCAACGGCGAGGTGTTCCAAATGCGTTATGTGCATGGTATAGGAGTTAATCGGTAGCCGCAGAGTTGCGTATTTTTTTAACCGGAAATGAAGTATGTGAAAGTGAAAGTAGAAGTTCAGTGTCTACATATATGACTAGTTGTAGTGGGATTTACATTATTTTAAAAAGAAATAGGAGGTAAACCTTCGGTCAGTTCGAACAAAATTAAATAAATATTGATGAACCTGTTCGGATTATACAAAATTATGCTTCAGAAAATAAGCGTGAGTTCGAACTATCGGCAAAAATTTCGGCAGTCACAAACATATCCCCGACATATTTTCTTCACCGGAGTATACCTCTAAATATCCAATGTAAGGTTACCCTCCGGTCAGTTCGAATCGGCGGATAGTTCGAACACGTATTTTTTTCAATAAAAACAATAATTTTCTAGCTTCAACCGATTCAACTGTTTCAACCGGATACGCGATTCTACAGGCTGACCTCAGGAAAATTTGGCACGTTTAGATTGAGGGGTCCAGACGTGCCTGACCGAAACTAAAATGCTGACTATTGCCAATTTGCGTTATTTCTTTCTAAAACAATGTCAAGCCACGTGTAGTTTTTAAGTTACGTTATGTATTTCAGTGGACGGATGAAAGAAGGTCATAATATTCTTGAAACACTGTTTTTTATTCTCCGAAACAGTGGATTTTAGCTCTGCTTATAGAACGGTCCAAGTGTGTTCGTTTATCGTGGAAAATTTCTGCGCCACACGTACCGTTTCAACCGGGATACGCGAATGTAGCCTACATTGGAACTGATATTCCCCACAGTACAGAAACAACCCGAGGCAGCACTGATAGTGTATACAGTTTACCATAGGCTTTACCACGGAATTAGATTGGGGAAAGGCAACTGCCTCTTCGACAAAGGAAATATGTCTAGGGCACTTTGATGTTGCGAGAAACTGCGAGAAAGCGCGAGAATTTACGTGATTAACTTTCTAATAAATATATTATTTGGCATACGAACTAAACATTATTTCTTTTTGATATGTGTTTAATCGCAGTATTTGTTTTCTGAAAACGGTTGTTGTTTTTTAATAATGGCTGCATTAAGCCTTAAATTACCGATCGCGGGTGAGTTCATGAATGCATGTGTTTCTAGGTAATTTATCATAAATATGTTGTAATTTATTTACATAATTACAATACGGTATATTATCATGCACATTGAACGATTTCAGTCGCATTGATGATCTGGAAAGTATATCCAAGGCACTAACCATCTGAATGTATATGTATGGATATGGTGTTTAAACTTTATGAACACTATCTCTCTAGATCGCAGTGCATCCTCAATAGATAATGTTATGAGTTTTATGAGCAGTTTATTATTGATCGTCCTGTCCAGTTCAACCACACACATGACCATAAAAAGTAACCCATACATTTATAATATGACGTTGTAATATAAAATTACATGTGTATATCGATTCGATCGTTTATATATGTTTATATATGGTACACCCAACATATGTGTATGCACAGCTAAAACTTAGCGACAGTGATATCGACACAGACTGGGACAGGAGATCAATATATTGGAGTCGTTTTGCATGCGACATAGAAATGGACATACCATACAATGAAAAGGGAACATAACTCACCATTAAATTCATGATTTTGATGAAGAGAAATCAGTCTGAATTTGCGTCGCCTTTTGTAGGAACATACGGTAGCAAGCTTTTTAGCCTTCTTTTTCATGTCTACCTCAGGACGCCTAGAATAAGCAAAGATGACCTAGATAATTTAACTATTCAAATAAAGCTATTCTCACGTTCTATGTTGTCTATTTAACTGGAGTATTTCATGGATAGCTACAGTGTGATCGAAAACATTTTCAGAATTCCTTGAACAGGTATAATCAAAACTAATATTCAACGAAGACCGTGACGCCAGCATCAATATGTAGGATTGTTACGAAGCTGTACAATGAGGAGGACGAATTTCCTATCATGAACTTTCCCTTTCTCGATTATAACATCTCTGTTTCCCCTGCCTAATTTGTCCATATTCGCAGTTGATTCGGTAGTCAAGAGCCTGCTCCTTATATCATATGACTTCCGTGATAGATATCGACTGCTGATGGACAAACTTACAATAAAATTAAGGTTTCCCAAGATGCAGGTTGATAAAGACTGTGTACAAGTTGTATGGTCGCCATCTCTCATTGGGAAATATACAATTGTTTTAGTGTTTTAGTGATAGGAACGTTGATGTTTTTGACTCTCTTCATAATCAGTATGCCTTTTGGTTTCGTGTCACTATCCAATTTCTCGATGCAAGTACGTGACATCTCTTGGACTGACCCAGATTACATGGCGTATATCGTCGATGAACCAGAAGACGCTTACCCTTCCGGAACATCTGGACTTATTCCCTTGTACTTTTCAATGGTCTGCATGTAAATCTTTCCTCTGCTTATATTTTGTCCTAGTTTTATCGATTTTGAGTTCAGCATAAGGGTTTGTTGATACTTCGGTAACCTCTTATCGTTTATTATTACAAGGCAATATTAAGCGGAAATCACATATCGGATTCTCGATCAAATTTTTAAATATATTCAAACTTGAATACGTCGTGATTGTTGATTTCGACATCAAACAACATAATGATAACAAGGATTCAAGATTGTCTTCATTTTAAAATGATCGAAGAGTTCCTCTCGTTTTGATATTTTGTAAAATTAACATAGCCGATCACAGTATGACGGACTATGTCAAAACGTTACATATGCAGCTTTTTAATTTACTTTCTTAATACCGGGCGGTGGCTATATGTTTTCATTGTTTAGCAATTTTAAATCATATTAAATGCTATCATCTTGATTAAAGTCTTCTTTTCTTCTATCATCCACTATCCGCGATATTTGCAGAGCTCGTACTGTCTGTTGTCCCAGCTGATAAAAAAATGAAGATGTCGGTCGAACCTCGGATTCGTCGAATACCATGTATTCCTCGAACTATTGAGTGGACCCTACGAGTTCGAGTTACCGGCATTTTACTGTATACGAAAATGTAATAGTCTGCTGCACGTTATTAACTAAAGAGGGAAAGTGAAATGACGGGATCAATGACCTGGAAGTTCCGGACAAATATGACATAGGTTCTCAGAAAAGTTATTTTTAGATTATGACTGTATTCATTTTTATCTAGTCATATCAGGCTGTTTATCGACAACATGTATAGGTCGCTCACCAAATACAAAGATAAAATTCCCTCACTAACAAATAGATTGACACGGTAATGTTAAGTGTATGAAATATTTCCTTATTAGTAACATTTTTTTGGACGTCACTTGAGTCATTATGTTGTCTTTCTAGCCCGAGTTTCCTCTGGCCCTAGTACCATTCTGGTGGGTCAAAATGTCTAAGTCTGGCGTAAGGGCCAGAGGAAACTTGGGCTAGTTGTCTTTCGTGATGATTTTGATTTAAGATGTTATCTACGGGTTCTTTCACTTTATTTACAAAGAAATTGTCTTATCTGTTTGTGTAAAATACTGGATCGGGGTAACAGTGAAATGACATATATGATACAAACTATAGCTTACCTGTAATTAAATCCTATTGTTCTCTAACTGATACAAAATATTACCTAGCATACATCCACCACCTTACCTGTATATAGGAAAATACCAAATGTATGCTACGGGAGACGACACGGTCATGTAGGCCCTTGAACAGGTACAACTGTATCCTGGAAATTATGCATAAGAACTTCCTTTGACTCTAAGAATATTAAACTTCTCCTCCGACCTGTAATTAGTTTTGATAAAAAATAGACTTCGGAAAATGACATATTTTGTTACAGTCCACAATGTGTATTGTAGTGTACAAAATACGGTGTAGCGTACACAATATATTGTATTGTACATAATATTGTAGTGTACATAGTATATTGTATTGTACATAAGATATTGTAGTGTACATAGGATATTGTATTGTACATAGGATATTGTATTGTACATAGGGTATTGTATTGTACATAGTATATTGTATTGTACATAGGATATTGTATTGTACATAGGATATTGTATTGTACATAATATTGTAGTGTACATAGGATATTGTAGTGTACATAGGATATTGTATTGTACATAGGGTATTGTAGTGTACATAGGATATTGTAGTGTACATAGGATATTGTAGTGTACATAGGATATTGTAGTGTACATAGGATATTGTAGTGTACATAATATTGTAGTGTATATAGGATATTGTAGTGTACATAGGATATTGTATTGTACATAGGATATTGTAGTGTACATAGGGTATTGTATTGTATATAGGATATTGTAGTGTACATAGGATATTGTAGTGTACATAGTATATTGTAGTGTACATAGGATATTGTAGTGTACATAGGATATTGTATTGTACATAGGATATTGTAGTGTACATAGGATATTGTAGTGTACATAGGATATTGTAGTGTACATAGGATATTGTAGTGTACATAGGATATTGTAGTGTACATAGGATATTGTAGTGTACATAGGATATTGTAGTGTACATAGGATATTGTAGTGTACATAGGATATTGTAGTGTACATAGGATATTGTAGTGTACATAGGATATTGTAGTGTACATAGGATATTGTAGTGTACATAGGATATTGTAGTGTACATAGGATATTGTAGTGTACATAGGATATTGTAGTGTACATAGGATATTGTAGTGTACATAGGATATTGTAGTGTACATAGGATATTGTAGTGTACATAGGATATTGTAGTGTACATAGGATATTGTAGTGTACATAGGATATTGTAGTGTACATAGGATATTGTAGTGTACATAGGATATTGTAGTGTACATAGGATATTGTAGTGTACATAGGATATTGTAGTGTACATAGGATATTGTAGTGTACATAGGATATTGTAGT